CCAGCTCCCCCTTGTGTCCACCAAAGTGGAACGTGTCTCCCTCTGGACAGTCGTGGGCTCCTCAGATTCTACCAAAAAGCCACAGCAGCCTACCCCACAAAACAAGCACTCCCATGGGAGGCAAACCTGTTTTCCTGCGCCTTTGCAAAGGTGGAGGCTTGGAGAACTGACCGGGAAGGGGAAGGAGAAGGGGAAGGTAGCCACTGGGCAGAATAAGCTTTCCGTGGCCACACGCTAGTCATGGCATAGCCGCTCTACACCCCATGGCAGCCCAGGGTAAATCGTCTCCCTGCTCACGTATTCTTCTTCTGAGCCATTCATTCAGCTATAGGGCTGTAGGTACACGTGGCTTTATAGAGGCAATGGTCTAATCCTAATTTTGATAAGATCCTTTATTGCTACCTTTAAGCGATTTTAAGCCCCTTACATCACGGTGTTTTTCCCTCCTCAGTGATAACCCCAAAGGCCTGTGGTTATTATTCTGGACAGGGAGAGTGAGGCAGGAAAGATTGACCTTGAACTGCCCTAGCTCTCACCGCTAGTAAGAGCTAAAGCAGGCCCTGCACCCGAGGCCTTCGACTCTGAGTCCAGTGCTCCCTCCCATGTAACGCCGCCTCTTCTTTCCACCCTCCCCTCCGAGGAGTAGTGGAAGGGACCTCTCGCTAGGAGGAGGGTGTGGTGGGGGCCAGGTTGCCCCAGGTGCCTCCTGGCTCTCCAGCTGGGGGCCGGCAATTAGGAAGGAGGAGGACCACCCGCGTTGCCGGTCATTTACCCCATGTGCTTTGTGGGATATTCAACCCAAGGAATGTGGCACACCTGGCCGAGCGTAAGAGGAAGCCCAAGTTCTCCAAGGAGGAGCTGGACATTCTTGTCACAGAGGTGACCCACCACGAAGCTGTGCTCTTTGGGAGGGAGACCATGCGGCTGTCCCATGCTGACAGGGACAAGATTTGGGAAGGCATAGCCCGAAAAATCACCTCCGTCAGCCAGGTGCCCCGCTCCGTCAAGGACATTAAGCACAGATGGGATGACATGAAACGCAGGACCAAGGACAAGCTGGCCTTCATGCAGCAGACCCTGTCGGGCCCTGGGGCTGGGGGCCGGGCCCCCACCATCGTGCTCACGGCCCATGAGAGGGCCATCGAGTCAGCGCTACTCACGGCCCGTGCAGGGTGCGGCTTCCCCAGGGTGGAACTGGATGGCACCGACAGCCCTTCGACCAGCTGTGAGTATCACCAGTCCCCTCCGCCCCGCCGGCCCGCCTGCTCCCCAGCCTACTCTCCGCAGTCTCCCGTGGACTCTCCTTCTGGTTCTCTCCTGTCCCTCCCTGTCCAGCCCACTCTTTCCCTCCTCCCCTCCTTCTCCCAGTTCTGTCTCCTCTCCATCCCTTTTTGTGCATTCATTCTAGAATATTTACTGAGCATCTCTGTGCCAGAGCCGTGCTGGGAGCTGGAAAGACAGCTGTGTGTAAACCCTACACAGGCCCTGCTCTTGGGGAGACCCTGGACTCCTAGGAATAAACCAACTTTAAATAGCTGCACAAGTAAACTGGTAATGAACGGATGAAGGACACAGGAGTCCAGGAGGTCCCGAGAGCAGGGCTGACCTCATGAGCATGCGACCTGCACAATCACAAGGGCCGAGCTGGGTTTCAGGCTCTGCTGTCGCCATCTGGACATTCTTCATAGTTATTGAGCCGGGGGCCCCACGTTTTCATTTTGCATTTGACCCTGTGAGTTACGTGGCAGTTCTGTCTGAGAGTTAAGGAAGGCTGGGGAAGGCTCCCTGAAGAAGTCCAGCAGATGGGCTGTGAAGCGTAAGAGTTAACCAGGCCAGGCAGCAGCAGCGTGGGGCGCGGAGAAGGGGAGGGGAGGCGCGCAGGCAGAGAACAGCATGTACGAGGCCCCGCATCAGGAAGGCGCTTGGCACGTTCCAGGAACAGTGAGAAGCCAGGAAGGCCCAAGTGTAGCGGTGCCGGGGAGGGGGCTGGAGGCGGTGGGGCGGGGGGTGCGGGGTGTGGTGGGGTGGGCTGGAAGCGAGGTGGCCAAGCTGCGAGGGCCCCGGCCGTGGAAAGATCAGTTTCTTTCTGTGTCTGGTCCTGATGGCTTTGTTCCTCTATTATTCTCCGCATTCCCCTGCCTGAGCTGCATAGCCTGCTCCCCCTTCTCACTGTGCTGCCTCACTCTGCCTGCCCTACGGCTGCCTCTCAGCTCCCTCTCCATCCTCCAGCTGCTCCCCCACCCACCCGTTCCTCACCCCTCTCGTCCCTCTGTACTTGTCCCTGCCTTTCCTCTCTACTTCCTGCGTCTCACATGCACTTTGAAGCCAGGGCCCCAGTGGCTGAGGCGGGTGTCCCTTGGGGCTCAGCAGAAGGGGGAGCACTCAAGAGCTCTGCAGAGGCTGCACCCCTTCCTTTCCACTTCTGCACATCTCCCCTGCTCCCCGCCAGCTGCAGTCCCCACTAGAGGCCATCTGCCTGACCAGCTCGTGAGTGGTGGGAGCCAGGCAGAAGAGGCCCCGGGGAAGCGGCTGTGGCTCAGCCATAGGAAGGTGCTTTGCAGGAAGGTGCTTTGCAAAGACTCCTTTGCGCCTTCCCTTCCCAGGCACCCTGCCAGTGGGATCTGCTCGCTTTCTGTTTGGCTGGGGCTCCTGACAGGTGGTGGCTCACAGAGGCAGATGTTCAGGACTGGAAACGAACGTGGAGACCATTTAGTTCAACTTCCTTGCAATGTAGAAAGTAAGCTCTAAAAACCAAGGTGGCCCAGAGCTCAGTTCAGAAGCAGGATTTGAACTTGGGTCTGCCAGCTTCCTGTGAATCAGCGTTTTCCTAAGTCCTAAGAGGATTCCGCCCTGTGTTAAGAAAAAATCAGGGATCAGCATCCAGTAAAGCCTGTTCCCTGTATCCTGCTCCACTCACCCCTCCATCTCCCTGAGACTGAATGTCACGAGGCCACCAAAGGTAACCTGGGCTGGCAGAGAGTCTGAGTATACTATCGGGCAGGGCCTGCTCGCTCCCATGCCAGGCTCACAGTCCTCCCTTTCCCGGCAGTGGTCAGCTGCCAGGGGCTCGGCAGAACAGGCCCGGGGAGGGAAGGAGCAGCATCACCTCGCCAGGCCTCGTTCCTTCCGACACTGGCCATACCAGACAGGTCTCTGGGATCTCAGGGGATGGCTGCTGTCCCACCAAGCACTGCCAAGAGACACAGGGCTCCTAACAAGCTAGCCCAAGTGAGGCCCCAGGACCCCTGGGAGGCATGAGGAAACTGAAGGATAAACCCACCTGTCCTCCCCATCACCTTCCTGCGGGGTGGTTCTGACTCAAGCCCTCAGGTACAGGCAGGGAGGGCTTGCCTGTCAGTAGGGTCAGCCCATACCTTATTTATTCCTGCCACGGGGATCAGACCATACCCTCGATCACCAGAAAGCCAACCCACATGTGCAGGGGCTGGGCCCCTCCATATGTCCAGCTGCAGGGAGCAGTCTGTCCGATGGCCCCTGTGCAGTTAGGTGCTCCTGGGTGGGAGCACAATGTGACTGACCTGGAAGCCTGCCTTGGGGGACAAGGGGGCAGCAGGGCTGGTGGCAGAGGTGGCTCTCATGCTCTGCACTGTCCTGCCGGGGTTCTCCAGCCTGCCAGCATCCATGGTGGTGATTTAAAGGTGCAGATTCCAGATTTATAGCCTTTTATCCCCTGCCCCCTCCCACGTCCCCAGAGTGCGTTGTGTCATTCTTATGCCTTTGTGTCATATGGTGTGTCATACACTGCTTTGTGTCATACACTACTCAGGTGATGGGTGCACCAAAATCTCACAAATCTCCGCTAAAGAACTTACTCATAACCAAATACCACCTGTACTCCAGTAACTTATGGAAAAAAAGGGTGCAGCTTCCAGCAAGGCCACAAGATGGCCCCAAGCAATGCGGACGTGGCTTCAGAGAGGCTGGCGGTCCGTGGGCGGAGAGTGTCTTAGTACCTTTGGCCGGTTCCTTCAGCTTTGCAGAGTGCCTTCGTGTTTGTCATATTGTTTATGCCTCTTCTTAACAACCCAGCTAGGTGGCCGAGTGGTTTGATGTGTAGACAGGGCGTTGGTTATTGCAGAAAGCGAGTTGCAGAAAGTGACTGCCGAGGTCAGGAGCCACTGGGTTGGCACGGAGTCACCGGGCTGCAGTCTCCAAGTCCCCTGGCCTGGGCTCTTCCCCGCTAGAATGGAGCTGTTCCCATGAGAGGAAGAGGAACTTCCCCCCAGGGGTGCTGGGCCCACGCATCTCAGGGATTTGGGGAACAGGGCAGGGGCCAAAGTAGACTGCGGAGTGGCAGGGCAGGGGGATACTTTTCAGGGGCAGGGCCAAAGCCAGGGCCTCCCTCCTTCTCCCTTTTGTAACTATGTGTCCTTTGTTTCTGTCCCCCAAGATGATGAAGATGAGGAGGCACCCGGGCCCTCAAGGCAGCCTCTTCGGGTCCCCCTGCAGCAGTCTCCAGAGGAAGAGGCCCACCTGGCCAGGCCCGCCCTGCTCCGTTCATCCTCCTCCTCAGACCAGTCTGAGACGGTGGGCCCCAAGCCAGAGGCCCTGCCCCGTCCCTCGCCCCAGGCCCAGGCTGCCTGCAGGACCCCTCGGCCGCACCCCAGCCCACCCACCACGGGCCTTGACTGGCAGCTCCTCCATGTCCATGCCCAGCAGACCGAGGTGTTCCGGCAGTTCTGCCAGGAGCTGGTGACCGTGCACCAGGACATGGCCAACAGCATGCACGTCATCGGCCAGGCCATGGCCGAGCTGACCGGCCGCGTGGGTCAGATGTGCCAGACGCTGACAGAGATCCGGGATGGGGTTCAGGCCTCTCAGCGGGGGCCAGATGGGGCAGCCCCCATGGGCTCCACTCCCCAGGCCACTCAAGCCCAAGCCCCCCTGCCAGAGCCCCCACCAGCTCCCCCAGCACCAGCCCCCACACGGACTACCAGGTCTCGGAAGAGAAAGCACAATTTCTAACCCAGCTAGTCTGCACTAGGAGGAAGAGCCATGGAGGAGGTATGCCTGGCCTTGCAACAGGGGTCAGGATCGATGACCCTTGTAGGACATTGGGGGCGCTGTCACCTCCTCACCGAGCGCAGGTCACTGCCCTGTGCTTTAACAGAGCATGTATTCAGCCCTGCACCCTCATCTTCCGTGGACGCTGAAGATGCAAGAAAAGCCACCTGCCTCATGCTTGCTTGGGCCAGAGATCGTTTTTCCTCTTGGTCTGTGTCCCGTGGCAGCAAGCCTTGCAGGGAAGGGGGCCACAGCAGTGGGGAGCATCCGAATGGAATCCCGCTTTCCAACCTCGGGGCTGCTGCATCGGCCTCCCACACGTGACCTCGCAGGCCCCGCTGCTGCTGCTTCTCAAAGGGGCAAGGCCTGATGGGCAGGTCGAGCCAGTCCTTCCGGGAGGGGTCTGCCCTCCCCTGCCCAGAGGTGGTGCCTGCCTTGGCCCTCCGCTTGCCCTTGTGCGCGTGCTCAGCTGCTGTGCTTGCCTTGTGTGGAGTGGGGAGAAGAACGGGATGATGCGGGAGGAAGGAAAAGACTGTCTTGCCTTCGTAGAGAGCACTTTATGCTTTTCCTCGCCCTTGCAGAGGGGTGGGCTCAGTGGGGTCTCAGGACAGTCAGCTCGAGCCAGCCAAGTCAGGTATTATTATGATCATTATTATTGTCATCATCTGTATAAGACAAATGACACGGGCAGTTAGTGAGGGGGCCAGGACTGGAAGCCAGGATATGGGTTTTTCCAGCTCCCCTGTCAGAGGCCAGGTCTAGAGTAGTGGAAAAAGGAGGTCTTGCCCTTGCTGGGCCTCTGCCCGCTGTATCTATGCTCCTGCCTCAGCTGTCCTGGGTGGAAGCGGGAGGCACTCAGCATGTAACAGGTGTTTCTCCCACCCTGCCCTGGCCCTATGGCTCATAGCCAGTGTCTGGGAGAGGCAGGGCCAGGTCTTAGGAGCCGGAAGGCAGTCTCTTCCCTGGCTTCTAGAAGAATCCGGAGTCCCGTACGGCTCATGCCCCCCTCCAGGTTCCAGCATGCCTTGCCTCTGCTTGCTCGGGCTGCCTACGCACTAGCTACACACACCTCTAGCTTCATGTCTCATGTTGGAGTGTGGGGAGAGAACTGGGTTCTTAGCATTAGAGAGGGAAGTGGCAGGTGGCAGATGCAAGCTTAGCTCTGACCTGGGTGCAGCTCAGCCCTGTGTCCTCTTTTTTCCCTGGCCTGAAGCTGACCCCAGCAGAAGTCCTCCAGCCAACCCCTCCACCTCCCCCCGCCCCAAGCCCCCACGCTCCCATCCTGTAGTAGGAGCTGGGAGGATTGTGGCACCCAGTGCCTTCCAAGGCCATTCCTGGAGTGCTGCTTGTAAAGCCAAGCCAAGCTTTGTCCCACGTAGGGAGACTGGAGGGTGACTGTAATGTCCCTGTGCCTTTGGCTCTGTCTCCCTATTCTGTGGTTCTTTGGGGGTTCCTGCTCCCCTCAGACTGAACCCTCTCCTGTCCAACAGCCAATGGCTTAATTATTGCCTGGAATTGCCTGGCCCTCCTATGCTGGAATCAAAGATTGCCTTCCGAAGTATTTTTGTTAAGATGGCAATAAAAAGAAATCGATCTCACTCTTTGAACACACCCAGTGTCCAGGATCTTTCTTTGGTGTGTATTCTCTTTCTTCGTTTCCTGTGAAAACCCCAAGGCCCCCAAAGCAGGGGTTAGATGATTAAGGAAAAGCATGTTGGTGAGACGGGCTCGAGCGCCCCTTGATTTTCCTGATTCCGTAAAGCTCCCAGATTCCCTATGACCAGCACCATGCCAGGCCCTCGGAGGAAAGGCAGGGCACGCATGGGCTTAGAGGACGGAGCATCTGGGCACGACACCACTCAGTTATATTTTCTGTCTCTGCACTTCAAAAGTGAGGTGTTGCTAAGTCAATTTTGCCTTTTGTTCCCTAAAAGTAAGTGAGAAGTTCTGAAAAAAAAAAAAAAAACAATCGCCGTTTCTGTTAGGAGGCTCCAGAAGGGTCAGGGGCTGGCCATGTCCCAGTGTACTTCAGGGGCCACCTGGAGGCATGACCCTTCCCACCAGTCCAGGTGTCTGTCTGTCTGGCACTGTCAAGGCTCTGCCCACCTAGATCTGAGGCTTCTCCAAGTAACCGAAGCTGCCTCTTCCGCCAAGAGGAAGCCTCCTCACCTGTGCATTGCCCTGGCTAACTGCCAGTCCCAGAGAGCTTCTCCCAGGCAGGAAATCCCCAAGTCTTGAACACAGATCCCCTTTCTAGAAGGTTCTAACCTACTTTTAGCCTCTTGAAATCCAGGCCATCCTCTGCAGTTCCTGGCCAAAAAAAAAAGCATAGCCAGAGAAACGGAGGACTGCCCAATTTCCAAGAGATGCGAAGATGCCATGAAACCTTTCCCGGGGCCTTGTTCCCTAGGGTCAATGTATGAAGCAGTGACTGGCTGGCCACTCTCTCTGTTTTTGGGGAGTGAAGGGGCCAAATTGGAAGCTGGAAAACTCCAACAGAAGTCAGAGCAAAAGGGCCAGTAAGGACTTGTCTACTTGGGATGGAAAAGATTTCAGTTTCTGTTCCTTGGCTTCGGTGGGGATGGTGGGGCTAGCACCTTAAAACAGGAAGAGGAAACGTGGGTGAGTGACAGAAATGAATGGGGAGAGGGAGGCCTCTAGCCATGACCAGGTGACCACCTGGGCGGTGGATGTATGACCTCAAGCCCCTTTCTAGGCCGGAGACCTATGCGTGTGAGAACACAGAGCCCAGCCTCTTCTCGGTCTGTCATTTCCTAGTTCTGCTTCCCTCTCTGGGGCAGCTTCCTTTCTATTGAAAAGATACCCACCAAGCAGTCAATGTCTGCACCCGGGCTAGTCGAGCCCCTCTGACAAAATGGCTGCCCCATGAGTTATGTTCTCTTCTGAGTTGGAGCCAATAGTCATGTCCTGACCCAGCTAGAAAATATGGCACACTTGATAAGATACAGTGGGTGAGATCTGAGAATTGTTGTCTTAGTATTTGTCTAGGTGGTTCCCTAAGGTCAGCGGGGAGGTTGGAATAAAAACAATCCAGTATCATCATCATGATACGTTTGGTCCAGAGTTCTCTGCTGCTATCAGCAGCACCTCGGCCTACCCTTTGATGGCTCCAAAGGTCCCAAATTCTGTGGGTTGGAGTTGAAATGCCTCAGTAAGCACTAGCATTTGCAAGACAGCCTCACTAGACATCGTCTGTGCCTTCTCTCAAGAGGCAGTGACCTGATAACACCTCAAACCTCCTTGGAAAGAGCTGCTCAGCCACAATGGCTAGATTTTGTACCTCCTGGCAGCCTTCCACTCCTTGGGCAGGGCTTCTGCTTACTGCAACCATGTAGTGAATGGGACAGGCACAGTCCTTCATAAAGGGGTTGTTGTGAATGGAGACAGAGGGGTTTTGGGGAGTGGCTCAAGCCAGCAGGTGTTAAGGCAAAACACTTAAAAAGGGAAGATCTAATTAGAGGTAACAGGTCTGGGGACCTAGCTGGTTCCATTTAGCTTTACCTCTAAAATGATATAACATACACTTTTGTCAGGGGAATGGTTGTGATTCACCAGGAGTTGCCATATATATCGTATTTCAAATGCTAAGTTTCAGAATAACCAAATACAACGAAAATCTGAATAAGTGTTGCTCTGCCTTTGAAAATACTCTGTGATCTATATGCCTCGAGGTTAGCTTTCCAAATATTGATTCCTGCCGGATAGAAAAAGACCAGAAGTTGGAAAGAGAAATTGACTTGAGTCTTTCTAAACCTTTTGATACACCCTAGAAGTTGCTCTTTAAATAAATAAATCCCAGGTAGGAATGTATTTCTCGTCTAGATTTTTCTCTTGATGTTGAATGTCAGAGAAATAATTCTAGCTTTTAGAGCTTGGTGGCTATTTAGAAACTGGAAGAAAAAAGGAGAAGACAGTATTCTCCAATCATGATGCTCTGTGATTCAAGTGATTCTTGTGAGAAAAAAGATGAATGAATGGTTTTCATTTCGTATCTGGGAGCAGGAAAGTTTGGAACGACTTCTGTTTTGTTCCGTGCTAACCGCAAGGTAGATTATTTTTGGATGTCAGATCCTAGACTCTCATTAAATTGGGGACTGGAAATATTTTGCATATTCAGAAGAAATCTCAGCTATTCAGAGAAAAGGCTGACTCACAGTTGTAGAACTGAGATTGGGAATTATTAATTGGAAGTAACCTTTCTCAGCCAGGAGGGTTTCTTTTCCTTTCTCTTAAGTCCTTTGCTAATAACATCGCGACTGGGTACGTGAAATCACTGTGTGGTCTTCACCACTCGGGGAGAGCAATGCTTATGTCCAATGCTGGTAAGAATGCCTATGTGTTGGGGCTAATAGAGAACATAGATCTCGGACAAGATGCAAATTCTGGGAGACCTAAGCACTATAAATCTTGCAAGCCACACCTCCATGGTGGAGCCTGTGGCTCACTCCTCTCAGAAGGCTGAAGCAACCAAAGCTAGCATTTGCTCACCCATCCTGCTTGGTCTCACTCCTTCTGAGGTCTTGCAACATCCTGTTGCCAGAACTGGATTGTTCCCTGGATCCAGTGGTCATCCTTGGAGGGCAGCAGCCTCCTCCCAGGCTCTTCAGATGAGAAGGGCAGGATATAGATGAGGGGCAGCTGGTGCCATCCCTGGGACCTCTAGAATGTAGATTTTCCATGCTGCTAGCTGCCACCACTGTCACCTCATACTGGAATTGGCATTCATATATTTATTTTCTTTGTGGGTGTGTTGAGGGTGACGTGGGTGACAGTAATAGTTACTTATTGAGGGAAACTTTGAAAGTATGCAAAATTACAAAGACGATCCATCTATAAGGGGTTGTCACTGTTAAAACATGGTGTATTTCCTTCAAGTCGTTTATCAGGGCTTGTTTTTAAAGCGTTATTGGAACCACAGTCTAAACACTTCCAGTCCTGTTGTTCTCACACTATATTATTTCAACACCATTTTTCCATGTCATGAAAGATTCTTTGAAAAGCTTTTTCTTTTTCTATAGATGATAGCATTCCATTGCATCAATGTAACGTCATTTACAAAATCATTTCTATAGTATTAGACATTCAACTGTTTTGCCTTTGCACTACCATACACAGTGATGCAAGTCAGCATATTGGCATGCCGGGTTTGCATACTTCATCTATCTGATGTTTCTGGAGCCATACTGCCAAATTGTTTTCTAAAGGGCTGCAGTGTTCATTCTGCATCATCAGTACAGGGGACACCTTTCTTACCACCTTTACCAATAAAGATATTATCATCTTTTAGAAATCTGTGCCAATGAGACGATATACTATGTTGCGTTTCTTTCATTAGTGATGCTGAATACTCTTCGTTGTTTTGCTATCCATTGGAATTCTTCTGTGAATTTTTGTTTTCCTTGGACTTATCCAGATGTAATTCACTGAGCTACACCAATCAGGCAGACTTTGATTTTGTCCCTGCTTTTTGAGACAAACCATAACGTAAAGAAAGAAGTTATTTTTGACTACAGATTTCCTAGATGCTTGTGTAGCACAGAACTGTGAAACACCAACTAATTTCCTCTTGCCCTCTGATCTGTGCACCTTCACTCCTCGGCAGCTGTTGCATCATTCCACCTTTTGGAGGTGGGTAGGGTGGGGGACTGGATGTTGCAAATGTCGTTTTGGTGAGAATGCAAGAGGGTCATAGATTCTGAGGGTTTGACAGAACTTTGAAGGTTATCTGGGCATTGACGAGCCGCTGCTTTATATGCCCACAGTAGGAGCCTTTAGTTACAGTGGGAAACGTGCATAGGACTCAAAGCTGCATCTCCCATTTATTAGCTGTGTGACTTTGGGCAAGTCACTTGGCCTCTCTGAGCCTCTCAGTCTCCTTATCTTAAAATTATTCAGTAAGATTAACCAGTGGTTGTCAACCTTTTGTGGTCTCTTATTTACCTTCCTCCCCTGGACCCCCCATTTTTAAAAAGATTTTCATCTTTAGCATTTATGAATGGATCTCTTGGATACCTTGTCACATGGGCTATTTCAGCTAGGCTTTGTGAAATACTGGAAACAGTTGAAGGACCCCAGCCTGACAACCATCAGAGGCCTGTGGGTATCCGGGAACCCCCGTGTTAAAAGTTATGGAAGAGTAGACGAGATGACTTGTCAGTTTTTCAATCACTTATAATATCTAGTGTTGATATATTTTCCATATGCTATGAGGCAGGCAGAACAGGAGTCATATCCAGTCTCAGAAAACAGATTCTTAGAGGTTTGGAGATGTGCTTGAGGTCCCACAACACAGTGACGTTGGGACAGGGATGGGGTCTGGCTGGTGCTGCTGCTCTGGACAGGGCAGCTGCTCTGCCAGGGCTCACACAGGCCCAGAGGCCTGTGGCCTTCTAACCCTCCACACTTGCCCAGCACTGTGCCAGCACCAGCAGGCACTCAACAACAGGTGACCTGTGCGTTCTCACCCGTCTCCCCTCGTCCCCAGGTACGTGGTCATATCCCGGGAGGAAAGGGAGCAGAACCTGCTGGCTTTCCAGCACAGCGAGTGCATCTACTTCCGGGCGTGCAGGGACATCCGGCCTGGGGAGTGG